TTTGTTGGAGACAACACGGCAACGGTCTCAGGCGGTATGGAGATATATAATATCACCGGGATTATGAATTACACGAATTGCTAACAGTACAGTTGTTCATTAAGCGTTTGTGGGTTTAGCTCAACATTAATTGGATTGGTTGCAGAAAGCTTTTAATGAAAAGTTGATCCGCAGCATGATAAGCAAGGCTATTAGTGACAATGAAATCCAAACTGAGTAATTAATGTTGATCATTCACGAGAATAATAGATACTAAGAGATAAAATATGTGATAAGGAAAAGAAGAAATAAAAAACCCCACTTTACAAAACAGACATAAATGTCAGAGGCTGTAACAACGTTAAATATAGATATAAAAATTGGAACTAGCCATTTAAGAATTGTGCGAAATAAAATGAGAAAGATGCAAAATAACTTTAAGTAAAGGATACAAGTTGAAAATAAGAGAGTTATGTATAGGATGTGTAAATTTTAAATATGTTAAACGAAATGATGAAGCTGCTAGTAGCCTTAACATTATAGGATAATAGTTTGCAGGATATCTAGACCTGAAGGGAACAAGTTGCCAATAAATCAATATTGGTATTGAAAAGGTGATCATAATCTCAATTCTACAAAACAGATAGTAGAGTACAGAAATTATCACGGGGCCCTGAGTGGCCGAGTGGTCTAAAGAGCTCTCACAGATCACTGCCATCTCACCTCTGTCTGCGTGGATTCGAGTCTAAGATTTGGCGAATGTGGATATGTGAGAAAGCTTGCCAGTAGCTTCCCGTGGGTCGGTGGTTCTTTCCGCGGATTTCCCGGTTTCTTCCTCCACCATTAATACTGGCCGCCATGTATAGCCTATCGTGTGCTGAAAAATGCCGTTAAGCCCCAAACAAGAGAAATTGTCTTTAAAATGCACAATAACTTCTTTTAGTGCTGTACAAACATTGCAGGATGTGTGAGAAAGAGAGCAGGGAGGATCGTGGATGATCACGGAGAATCGTTGACCCTTGAACATCTTTACAAGGCCGATAAATCAGCCCTGTACCCGTGATGATACTGACTAGTTATCTTGTGGATGATATCGCATATTCATTAAAACTTGGAAAATATGCAGAAAATCTTGTTTGCACATATCAATGTACATTTTACACACTTACCGGTATTTCTCATAGCTATGGAGCTATCGTTGTTTGAACGATTCTCTTGACGACATGTACATTATATTTCTGGAGCAAATCCTATGTTTGGCGACATATAAATTCGCGCGAAAACTTACATTCCTCTATCATTGTGTCCAGTTTGAATTTCGCGCTAGATATGGCTGTTACCAAATACTGTTCATTAATGAAATCAGACCTACATGCCGTCCATCACTATCAACGCTGATTTGTGCGGAGATGGGGGTGATTTATCAGACTACCGCTTTACCTACTAATTAAGAAAATTCTCCTTCTGGGAGATCCTATGCATTTTGCAAACAATCGAATATAAGACAAACAGTCAGAGATGTTTTCGAGTGTGACATGGATAGAATAAAAAGTCTCAGCAAGATTACATCCCTTTGAATTCAGTTGCAACGTTACAGAGAGATTTGAAAATTAAATCCAACATAACATTCATAAAAGGGTAATGGATGACGTTAACAATGAAATGACTGACTTGAACAATGACATAACAGGTAAGACTAATTCTATATCAGAAATGCATACTAACAAATTAACAGGGTTAGACAATGTAACGGACGTCAAAAAGCACGACCATGGGGACAACCTACAAGTGGACCTAGGAGCGGTTAAAAAGTCGGAGTGGTACAAGTGATATTGAAACAAAAGGTGAAGACGTGCGAAAGATGATTTAACATTCTAAGTTGAAATTGATCAAAAGATTTGCAGTAAATGGTAACACTGATAGTGAAAATCGTAATCAAGGAAATCAGAGAGAAAAACTGAATTGAAACAAAAATGGGCATAATGAGTTTGGCATTGGATGTTAAAAGAGGCGAATTGCAAATTAAATCGATAACAAAATGAAAGTTGTAGAAAAAATTAGACTAAAACTATAGGATTTGCTCAGCACAATTAGACATTCACGTTGCACCCATTTTTTGCGGATTCAAGGAGTTAAACTAATGAACGTTGATTTACTAGAAGAGATAATAACTGCTGAAAACTTACAATACAGGAATGAATTGATCGACAGTTGCATACACATATTTTGTCTACATGTATATTGAAATCTTAAGATGTGTAGGCTTGTACACTGAATTTTGATTTGAATTAGAAGTACACAATGAATAAGTGTCTTATTTATTAGGTTTTAAATGACAATAAGAACCTCTTCCTTGACAATGTAAAAGGATCACGTACATAAAATACAGATGAGAACAATGTTTCAGTAATTGGATAGAAGTATAAAGAAAGTCCGTTTTGGTCAGGATGTAAAATATAAATTGGAATACATTTATTTACAATTTAACCCAACATAATAAATTATTTCAAGAAGCAAACCTTGAATTATGTATCATCAGGTAAGTAATGACAAAATAATTCGTATAATGATGTAATAATAAAATCTATGATGCAGGAGCAATCATTAGATGAAGAAAAATGACTGTCTTGTATGTATTTGATCCTAATGTAGCTAAAAAGATTTAGGTAGACCTTACCCAATCATATAATTATTACTGAGAAAACAGTACACGACACTGGATTACTTGGATGAAAGGTTGAGAGAGCAATGTTTGTTGACATAGACAAAAATTACTTGGACGATGCTTTTGTTCTGTTTTTGTATCTGGTGATTCTGACACATTTATTCATCCAGAAAAAAAAAAACAACGCACACTTTGAACGCCAAAGAGCCAAGCGCAAATATGAAAACATTGCACGTGCGATGGGTGTTAGTGTGTATATTGCTAACAAGTTTGTTTAGTAGAAAATCATACATTGCGCATATGTAAGAAGCATAATCGTCTGGTTCGATAAATGAAAATCCATAGTTTCTCACAAGCAGAGAAAGCTACTGCAGTGTCTTGTATTCCTCAATGCAACGTTTCATTTTTATATTACCTTAAATATGAAATCTAAACAAGTCAAACCCATTGCTATTTCAAACGTCAGCCTAAATACTGGTATATTTTTTTGTATTAGACAGTTTCTTTGCGTTATTTATGTGAAGATAAAAGGAGATTATATCAATGAAGTGCTAAACAATTTGGGTAGAATGCTTATGCAAGATAATGCCATATCCTACAGAAGTGATGATCTTTCGCATTGAATAAATAGAGTATTCCCATGATATGGAAATGTTTGTGGTTATCTAATTAAATTACAAGCAATAAGGCTGAGTATTCTGTCTTACATGATAAATTTAGATATGTAATGAAGAAAGCATGGTACTGAAGTTGTACAATTTGTACTGTATGGAATTAAAGTACAGAACTCCATTGTACTTCCAGATAATAGCAGATTACTATACACTACATCCTCATTAACAAAATATAAAAGCATCTTACTTGCAAAAAGGTTGTAACGACGAGTACGACCTGTAATATATATATATATATATATATATATATATATATATATATATATATATATATATATATAAAGAGAGAGAGAGAGAGAGAGAGAGAGAGAGAGAGAGAGAGAGAGAGAGAGAGTCTTTAAGCATGCAAGTTAAACGCTGACAATAACTGCCAGATAGGCAAAACAATGTTTTGCATTAACGTAACTGCTTCAATCATAAAATAACATACTATCAAATGGACATGAGGGAAATAAATTATCGATATAGCTGCCAAAACAAATGTTAGTATTTCCCATGCTTGTTTCTCCAAAAATAAATGCACAAATGTATTCAGGTGAACAAAGAGTGGAGAATGTAACTTAAAAAAACTGTTCAGCGCACCAATATAAAATATGTCACTGGCTCTAGAACTGATACTCAAATTTCCTGTAGAAACAATAGCAGAATCTAGATTGTATTTCTCAGACGAACAATACAAAATTGAAATTAACAAGCTTTAAAATTTTTTTTACTTTGTCAACCATTGCATTTGTTTTATTTAAGTCGTACGCTTGACATATTCGACTGGACGGTAAATATTTGTCTAACGTTTCTGTTCAACAAGAACTACAAATGAAGGAGATCGACAAAAAAGATAAGAAGTTGATCTATATTTTCAGGGTTAATTAAATAACTTGGATGATTGCCAAGTTACAAATACTTTGTTGATGACTGTGGTAATAGTTTCATTGTATAAAACAAAACAAACTAACATAACGCAACTAGATTTAAGTCATAAACCTTTGAAATATCTGTTTGGTGGATTGAACTAATGCACAACTCTGTCATTCAAGAATTCAAGGAATATGGACGTATTTTTAATATGTTTTACAGAAAAGATTTAAAGCAATATGGATTGTAAAAATGTAAATTGAAGATGCTATGAAATAGAACAAAGGAAACAAACTGTTATTAATATAGAATGTCCCTTTTGGCTAAAGCGTTCCTACGTTCCTGTAAGGTTGTGTATCTACGCCGTCCACCAAACAACGTTTTTGTGATTATATAGGGACATCAAACTTTTAATTTTGATATTATACAGCTCTCGCTAGTAAGATCGGAACAATTCTTTTCTCGATCTAATCTCCTCGTGATAAAAAAAACTGTTCTTTTGTAATTGTAATGTTGTTTTTTTTACGGGACATATATTTTCATCCCTTTTCATATTTATTTGTGATATAACATATGTTATCCTGTGCATTGTAACTAGTATCAAGGAACCTGAGTTTTATTTTTATTACCAGTATCAAAGAACTTGATCGTACTCTTTGTGACTAGTGTGAAAGAACTTGATCGTACTCTTTATGATCAGTGTCAAAGATATATATATATATATATATATATATATATATATATATATATATATATATATATATATATATATATATATATATATAAATCAGGTACATACTGAATTTTTTTTTTACCTTAACCTTCATTACTCACCGATGGCTTAGTGGTTAGAGTGTCAGCCTCGGATGCAGGAGGTTGTGGGTTCGATTCCCGGTGAGTTGAGTCATAGCAAAAGACTTACAAAAAAAGTACTAACAGCTGCCTCGCTTGGCGTTCAGCATTAAGAGGTCAGTGTTAGGACTGGTCGGCCTGGAGTCAGGATAATGTGACATGGTGCGACATCATTCTACATGTCTGCAGCATGATGCCCCAGTGCTAGACATCACTATAAACTGCCACAGTGCAGACATCGTAACGATATGACTTTAAAATTGTTAAAGCTACGTTAAAAAATCTTAATCACATCACATCACATTACTCACCTTTATTGTATATCTGACCATTTGTCAAGGGCCTTATTCATGGTCTGTTTTGGCATTTCTTTTTCTCCGTGACACCAGTTCTTTCTCTGCCAAGGACCAATAACATACAAAAGTCTATCAAAGGCTTGTAATTATCACACCTAGGTGTTAAAGATTAGTTCCAAGATCAGAGAGAAGCCCACAGAGTGAGTGTGGCCTGTTCTTGTCCATCTCCACGTTGACAAGCTGTGAGAAGGATACGGTAGAGAGTACATACACTACGTTTGATTGGATCGGTCCACAGTGTTGTCCATTCAATCACTGAGATAGAGGGCGTGGTTACAATTCGATGCAAATTATACCTTTCAGAACTTGTAAATGAAAAGTTTGCTTCTCCTGAACAGAATGCTGAACAATAGGGTTATTCCGAGAGAAGCCACTCGTAATTTGGCAGTAAAAGTTATAGATACATATATTCTAAGGAAAGATAAAGCTTCGAAAATTAATACTTTTGGGGAACATAGAACTTCCGGTTTAAATGAGTCTCGAGTCTCCAAGAGGTGGCGACGGAATTGAGACTAGCCGAACAGTTGAAGTGGACAGAAAGCTAGTCTGTGGAGAGAAGGGGGAGGAGGAGGAAAAGGAATCTGGAGGAGAAAGTGGAGGAGGAGGAGGTGGATAGATAAGTCGAGGAGAAGGGACTTGGAAGAAGTCGAGGAGGAAGAGAAGAAGAAATTGGGAGAAAAAGGAGAGAAGAATACCACAGATGAATAGAATATAAGGATTCGTGGAAATTGATCTCACACTGCTAATCAAGTGATGCAATAGGCTATTAAAGGGTCGAGCAAAATGAATGTAATTGGAAATTTGAAGGGGCAAATGCTTTTGTCGATCGTTGTAGAACACATTTACGTGTACGATTAATTAGATTTATGGAGGCCTACACGTGTTAAATAGCCATAATGCATGGATTGATACCGTCTCTGTCATGAGTTTAGTGATTTTCAATTTGGGCTACGTTTATTTATTTAAACTGAACAAGTCAGAATTCGTACAGTCATATTTTTATATACATAGGCGACTCGTTTGAACGAAGTCTCGATTATTAGAGGAAATTATGTATCTAGAATAACTTTGTTGAGTTCATTTATCTGAATTCGTACAATGGTATTTTTTTTATTTATATAGATTGTCGACTCGTTTAACGAAGTCTCGATTATTATAGGAAATTATGTATCTAGAATTTCATGCCATATTTTAGCTGAGATGCGTTAGAAGAATACGTGTGAATTCTCCGACATTATGTGAGTTTAAGTAACGGCTTGAATTTGTGTATTAGTTATAGTTATGCCATAGTAAGTAATTTCATTCATTCATTTGTGTGATTGAGACGGGACTGGAACCAATGTCTCGGTGGTGTTTTGAAATAGCCACTAGTTAGACCATTAATCTTTGGAAACTAGGTGTTTATGGCTTGCCATAGCCAGTTAGACTAGATAGCCGTTGGAGTCTGTTTGAAATCCGATAGAACAAAATCTGACATAACGAGGTTGTTATTGATTCATTTCCCCAGTATAATGTGAGCGAAGATTTAGGTTGCTTACTTTTATTATTTCGGAAGGTGAGATAGATCTACGTGACGTGACGTACCACGTATTGAAAAATCCAAAGTGACTACACATTGGAAGGACGAAAGAAGCAAGATACCTGGCAATTTGGAAAAGAAAGGGAAAAGTGGAGAGGACCCTGACTTACAGGCACAAGGAAGTCAAAGGAACAGTCGTTTTGAATTTGGACTGAATCAAGACAACATGATATGAATCGATACAAGGCACTGTTTCTATCTTTCACTCAATTCGATGATGAATTCTATCGCTTAACATATGAGCTATTGGTATAAATATATTTGTATTTGAAATTCGTTCAATAAGTTAATTAAAAAAGTAATGCCATTCAAATTGTAACGAATTATCATAATCGTTAATGAATTTTATTGTTATGAATTTGTATTAAATCTTGTCTTTATTTGTAATAGGGGGTCCTGTTATTCTGTTCATATATTTGCTCAGATCTTTCTCTATTCCTCCTATAAGTTTCACACTTTATATTGATAGTTACTTGATCCGGGCAAATTATACTGTCGTCGATCACCTCTAGATAACGATAACAAAAACCAGACAACCCACCCCAACAAAGTAAGGGAGGGGTATCTGACTATATATATATATATATATATATATATATATATATATATATATATATATATATATATATATATATATATATATATATATATATATATATACCTATCTGCAGAATATAATGGTCTATTACATTTTTAACATATTGTTAATTATAATTAGTTATGTTAATATCGTTAATTAACAAGCATATTTTTCTGTGTGTGGTATAGATGTTGTTTCATTATACAATTCAGAGTTATTCATATATTCGTATGGATAAATTCCTTTCCCTAGCTATTTAGGCGTCATTTAAATTTAATGCTTTTAGTGTCGTAATTTATTCCTCACCTGTTTATTTTGCCAGCTGTTCTATTGATTGTCTCACGAGTCTAAAGCGTTCTGGAAGCCAGACTGACATTGAACCTGTTATTTTCTAACGTTCATAAAACTTCCAACTATAAAATATTTTCAGAATGAAACATATTTGTTTGTATTGTTGCATGGCGTGAATATAACGTTTTCGAAAGCGTCTTGATAGATGATTGATATAACCGCCTAAGTTGTGTCAGTGGCTTTTTGGGGACATCTGGTTGGACTTGTTATGTGCTAGGTCTCTAGCCCTACCTGTCTAGCGATCGTTGGTCACGATCCTTTTGATCTGTTGATTTCCTTTACCTGATGTAACTTTTGTTTGTTGAACGCTTCCCTCTTAATGCCATATGTCCTCCATTTCAGGGTCGTAGTTTCTCACACACCAGGAATGTGATTTCACTCTCCGCAACTTAAAAACTTGAATACAATCTGTATATCTGTGTACATGTTTGATTGATTTGAGGAAGAAACAAAATACTTGCTTTTTTGTTTGCTCACGACATGTTAGATCGTAGCTTCCGCATGCGTGCAAAGCATGTTTGTACCAAAAACTCCGTACCTCAGACAGACAACAGGCACACTTTGCACATGCAGTGCGATGATGCGTTCGAAATCACGAACACACATAACTTTCATCTGATGCAGATATTTACAACATGATTATCTATCGAGTAATCGGAGTGTTTCGACTTCCAACCTACGCGCGATTAATTCTACAGTGTGCATGACATGAAGGAATTGTTTGACTGAATAAACGTGATTTGTATTATAGAATTCCGGAAAGAAGTAAACTTTTATTATAAACTGTAAATTTTATGCTGTCACCTTGAGAAGTATGTAATGTATATACGTCCCTTTTTTCAAAACCTTTTCACCTGTGTTCATTAACATACACCATTTTCATCCATCGTTGATCGGGAAGCTTCATTTATTACCGTTACCATCTTATCTTTTCACCTTCAACTGTTTAGTTTTAATTCACTGGTCGATACAAACCTTTTACCATTAAATGATCCTACATATAACCGTTTGTATGGCGCTGAATATCATAACAAGTGTTGGTGCGTCGAAAAAAATACAATCAATCAATCTATCGAGTAATCTATAACACGGCATAAGTTTTACATCATGAAAGCGTTTCTGTTGTGCTGAAAAAGGCAAGTATTTTTGGCAATATATATTTATTCTTTTTAAGTTTATTTATCTTTATAGTCATAATGTCTACCATATTGAGATATAGTTAACTTGGCAATATGTATTTCGCTCTTTATGATAGTCATAATAGAAGGACTTTTGTTGTTTCTCTCATTGTCTTATCTTCTTTCTCATCGTGCTGTTTTTGTACACATTTATATCAAATGTATTCCTAATGTTTTCCAATTTAGACAAACTCCAAAATCTAGTGCCCCTAGTTGCTTTAAAGTTTATCATCAGTAAGGAACTCGCACCAAGTCTGTAGTATCCTCATGGTAACAACTTAGTGCACGACAACAACAGATTGTGGTGTCCCCATGGTAACCACTAAAATGTGGTTAGGCCTTGACCTCTAACTATTAATAATAGTTCGCTTTAGAGGATGGACGCTTCAGTTAATAGTGTCACTGATGCCTAATGGCTAGATCCATCTCTGCCACAGATAAAGTTTATTGTTCAGGCAAATTTTTTATAATAACATTATAGTGATATATGTCACGTCTGATGGCTACACAAAATGTAAAAAAAAAAAAAACTTTTTGTTAGAAGTCGACAAGGCATCGGAATTAAAATCACAAGAGAAGGAATCCGGTGCATATTCTCTTAAATCAATTAAGTTTCGAAAGCAAAAATGTGACGTTCTTTTTGCAAGATTTTAAATTAGGTGTAGCCAGTGCCGGATTTAGATAGACAACGCTAAGCCCTAACCTATGGGAAGCTATAAAGGCCATATCTGGTATAAAATAATTTTGAGAGGCCCCTTCAGACTGAGTTCAGACTTTGGGGCCATAAGCTGTAGCTTGTTTAGCTTATGCCTAAATCCGGTACTGGGTGTAGCACGGAACAAGATGTCGTAAGATCGTTCCTTCTTCCACAATATGTGCAGTATAATAAACATAAAAAATAGCCTCAGTAAATATTTCAAGTTGTACATTTTCATTCTATCGGTACTTCGGTAGTTTCCGTCAGTAACGAATGTACTTATTCCCGAGTAATCTTGACATGAATTTAAT